TTAGCAAGATACCATTCCCTGCTTCCCCATGGTTTTTCATTCGCTAGCCCCTCTTTCTCATCCTTTTTGACCCTGGAAGCTACAGTGGCCTCCTTAGCAGCCTCCCAGCGCTTAACGGCATAACTATATTTGGCCTGTAATTCAGATTCCGTGCTCATGGTTATATTTTATAATAATGTAAATATCTACATGTGGAAGATTGTAGGCACAAAGTTTGGGAAGAGTCAACAATGTGGATTATAAGTGATTCAGTTACCGCAATTATGAGGAAAAGCACAAACAAACAAGACTAGTAGAGTCAACACATCATCAATCTTTAAACAGAACACAAAACACAAAAGAAAAATCATCATTGCTTTCTTTTTAATATAATCATTGTTATTATGATTACTATCCTGCTTATCACCATTCATATGGTTACGGTCACTGTTACTACCATCATGTACAGATGGAGATGCAACAGGTGNCGTGTGCCATCAATAAAGATGGCCTCCAGCGAGTTTGTGGCACTATCCACACAGCCCACTTCAAACAACTCCCGCAGCATATCACAAGAAAGAGACGCTTGCCGTACAGCTTCTCCTCCTCGGTGAGATCTATCTCCCTCACAAACTGCATGCCAGCAGTACTAGAAGTACCGGAAGAAGAAGCAGAAGAAGCAGCAGCAACAATATCAACAGGAGAAACAGAATGAACAGTCAAATGATGAGTCATTGTTGGTGGAGGACACCCAACACACATAATTATCACCTGGCCGCACATTATGGGCACTGTTCAAGATGGTCTCTGCAGAAGTTGCCATGAAACCACCAACAGAGAAAGGAGTTTCATCTTCCACTACACGCAAGTTATGTGGCTCCACAACAGTAGACATTGGAATAGAAGAAGAATAAGAAGAACAAGGCGGGGCGTTATGCATATCTTGCAATAACTTCAGAACCAGATAACCAACAACACCACCAGAAGCAGTGGAATTAGTTAACACAGGTTTGTCATCCTCATCATCATTTGCGTCACTCTTCTTGTTGTTCTCGTCAGTTGAGTTCACAGGTCTAAAGGATGTAGTGTGAAAAAAGTAAAAGAAGAAGGAAGAGAGAGAAAGAAAAACTCATAGAGAGTGGATGCAGTACACAAATACTCACAGTGGAAAGAGAGAGAAGCAGTAACAGCACAGTAAAGCAAGAAAAAGGAATATTCCGCTTGTATGATAATATGTATCCATTAATTGAAAGAAAAAGAGAACACCACACAATACCCAAATAAGAGAGAGCCAAACACACACAATACCCCATGGCTCTAGTGTATATATTAAATTACTGCACACACATATCTGTGTGTACTAGCAAGAGATGTATACCGTCAGTGAGCAGAAGAGCCCAGTTTTCTGCACACAACGGAAAAGCAAGTAATGGAATTATTAGAAAAAGAACACACACACACACACATAAAAGTAAAAGAAATGATATTTGAATTAAAACGAGAAAGCTGATAAACAGATTATTAATTCATTCACCCATGAGGGATGTACGCAATTATGATTATGTTAGTTTAACCATTATTATTATTTGTCCTCAAATGAGTCCCACCGTTCAGTACACGGTAAC